CTTATAATAAGTTTTAGGCATTTGTTATTATGTATAAGACCTTTGTTTGGGGTACTATATTGCGTATAAGACCCTTATGAAGGTCTTATATTGCGTAGAAGACCTTTTTTAAGTTCTTATATTGCGTATAAGACCTTTTTACTGAGTATAATGCCACTTCTGAGGTCTCATATTGAGTATAAGACCACTTCTGAGGTCTTATATTGAGTATAAGATCTTTGTTGAGTATAAGACCTTTGTTAAGGTCTTATAATAAGTTTTAGGAATTTGTTGTTATGTATAAGACCTTTGTTTGGGGTACTATATTTGCGTATAAGACCCTTATTAAGGTTTTATATTGCGTATAAGACATTTTTTAAGTTCTTATATTGCGTATAAGACCTTTTTACTGAGTATAATACCACTTCTGAGGTCTCATATTGAGTATAAGACCACTTCTGAGGTCTTATATTGAGTATAAGATCTTTGTTAAGGTCTTATAATAAGTGTAAGATTTTTTCTGAGGTCTTATATCTCGTATAAGAAATATGTTTTTGCGTATAAGGCTTTCGTTAAGGTCTTTTATTGCGTACAAGACTTTTGTTAAGGTCTTACATTGCGTATAAGACCTTTGTTAGGGTCTTATATTGAGTATAATCCCTTGGTTAAATTCTTATATTACGTATAAGACGTTTGTTGGGATCTTATTTTGCATACATGACCTCTTTTATGGTATTTTGCCGAGTATAAGACACATTTTTATATCTTATACTGAGTATAAGACCTCCATTAAAGCCATTTGATATCATAAAAATGTCACTTAAATCAAATTTTCCACTCTCTTTAATCCCGTTTTCATTTACAAGTTGATTTGGTTAATGGAACAACAACAAAAACAGGAAAATTGTTTTCTCAAAAACACATTTACCCCAATTGCATTGTTCGTTGGCCGCGACCTTCCCCTCCCGGGGGAAATGGAGCAAACAAAAGGTTTGCATTTAAAGTTAAAGGAACTGGATGTCGTTTTGTTTTTTAGAAAACAACGAAAATACAAAAAATCACTTGACAACAGCACCCAGTGAAGGAGGAATAAAAAACCCTGATATGAAATTGTATTGCACGTTTTCTTTTGACAATGCTGTCAACGGAAATTATTCCGCTGTCATGGGTTTTTCTTTCACTGTTTTGGCAAAGACTTCAGTGAGTTTCCTTTGACGGTGGATGAGGGGTGCCAACCGTTTAGCCTGTCTTGAAGATATTTTCTGCTTACCAAAAAAATAACAAAACATCGAAAACAAAAAGAATGGAGTGCTAAATTGTCGTTATGTCCTGGCAAGACATGCCAGGGCAATATTGTTTCATTTCCAAGCCATTATTTGTTTACTTTTGGTGTGTGTGTGTGTGAGTGGGTGTACCAAGCGTTTTGTGCCTTGTCATGTGCTCCACACGTTGTCCCCGGTTCTTTCTGGCTGGTTGCTGACATTTTCTACCCTGCAGTGCTATTGTATTTTCGATGTTGTGTGCAATGATGTTGTTGTTGTTGTTTTTGTTATGCTCTAGTGACACATTGTGTCAACTTTTGCTGTTAAAATAACATTTCTCTCACATTTCAGTTTCAATTTCATTTGTTGCTGCAGTTGTGGTATCTCTCCCCCCAACCTCACCCCCACTCCTTCATCAACCTGCCATTTTTGCTCCAGGCCTGGTGAACAAAAATTGAAACGTGCTTGGAATGCAAAAGATCATCTTAACATGGTTATGACTGGCACACACACACCCAAACACACGGTGATTTTTATTAGGTTACCACGACTCAAATTCGGTGAATTGCTTCATTCCCTGTCGCCGTGAAACATTTCCAATAAAAATTCAATTCGAATTGCATATTGGAAATAATGTTCGAATCATTGAAGAGGAAAAATATATTGCAATTATATTTATATGCAGTTGAAAGGATACACAAATCGTTGTGGATCAACAACAAATGGGAAGACAAATATTTAGAGGACACCCAGGAAACGGGTCATTTGCCAAATGTGGGATGGGAAAATGATAGAAAATTAATTGAAAAAATCCACGCCTTGGCTGGGACCTTAGAAAATTATTTTAAAAATCCGCGCCATATCAAGGACCTTAAAAAATTAATTTTGGTGCACCATTTACCTTACATCGGACGAAAATATATATGGGAGCTATATCTAAATCTTAACCGATTTTCACGAAACTTAACACACATCTTTCTAGACTTAATTCATTAAGCTATGCCGAATTTCGTGCACATCGAGAGATATATAGGGACTTCGGTGGCTCATTTTCCTTATATCGGATGAAAATATATATGGGAGCTATATCTAAATCTGAACCGATTTTCACGAAACATAGCACACAAATTTCTAGACCTAATTCTCTACGCTGTGCCAAATTTCGTGCAAATCGAATATAATATAGGGACTTTGGTGCATTATTTACCCTAAATCGGACGAAGATATTTATGGGAGCTATATCTAAATCTGAACCGATTTTAACGAAACTGAGCACACATCATTCTAGGCCTTATTCAGTACGCTGTGCCAAATTTCGTGCAAATCGAAAGATATTTAGGGACTTTGGTGCATTATTTACCCTAAATCGGACGAAGATATTTATAAGAGCTATATCTAAATCTGAACCGATTTTCACGAAACTTAGTACACATCATTCTAGACATAATTCAGTACGCTGTGCCAAATTTCGTGCAAATCGAAAGATATTTAGGGACTTTGGTGTACCATTTACCTTAAATCGGACGAAAATATATATGGGAGCTATATGTAAATCTGAACCGATTTTCAGGAAACTTAGAACACATCATTCTAGATTCAATTAAGTATACTACGCAAAATTTCGTGCAAATCGAAAAATATATAGGGTCCTTGGTGCACCATTTACCTTAAATCGGACGAAAATATATATGGGAGCTATACCTAAGTGTGAACCGATTTTCACGAAACTTGGCACACATCACTCTAGACTCAATTCAGTACGCTGTGCCGAATTTCGTGCATATCGAAAGATAATATATGGGAGCTATATCGGTTTGAACCGATTTTCTCATTTTCTTTTAAGACTAAATTCAGTACGCCGTGCCGAACTTCGTGCAAATCGAAAGATATTAAGGGCTTTTGGTACACCATTTACCTTAAATCGGACGAAAATATGTATGTGGGCTATATCTAAATCTGAACCGATTTTCGCGAAACTTAGCACACATCATTCTATACCTAATTCATTACGCTGTGCCAAATTTCATGCAAATCGAAAGATATTTAGGTATTTTGGTACATAATTTGCATTAAATCGGACGAAGATATATATGGGAGCTATATGGAAATTTGAACCGATTTTCTGGAAACTTAGCACACATTATTATAGACGCAATTCAGTACGCTATGCCAAATTTCATGCAAATCGGAGCATATAAAGGGACTTTGGTGCACCATTTGCCTTAAATCCGACGAAAATATATATGGGAGCTATATCTAAATTTGAACCGATTTTCGCGAAACTCAGCACACATCTCTTAAGACTAAATTCAGTACGCCGTGCCGAATTTCGTGCAAATCGAAAGATACTTAGGGACTTTGGTGCACCTTTTACATAAAATCGGACGAAGATATTTATGGGAGCTATATCTAAATCTGAACCGATTTTCACGAAACTGAGCACACATCACTCTAGACTCAATTCAGTACGCTATGCCAAATTTCGTGCAAATCGAAAGATATTAAGGGCTTTTGATACACCATTTACATAAAATCGGTCGAAAATATATATGGGAGCTATATCTAAATCTGAACCGATTTTCACGAAACTTAGCACGTATAATTCTGGACCTAATTTATTACGCTGTGCCAAATTTCGTGCAAATCGAAAGATATTTAAGGTCTTTAATGCACCATTTATCTGAAATCGGACGATAATATATAGGGGAGCTATATCGAAATCTGAACCGATTTTTCCCAATTTCAATAGGGTTCGTCCTTGGGCCAAATAAGTGGCCTAAGCAAAATTTCAGCCAAATCGCATCATAAATGCGACCTGTACTTTGTTTACATTTTAGCATCAACATACAGACGGATAGACGGACGGACGGACGGACATGCATAAACCGATTTAGAAGGTGATTCTATGCATATTCTCAAGAGGAACCATGTCTCTCTCTCGTTTCCCTTTGCCTGTTACAAACATATGCACATAATACCCTGTGCCACTGTTTGGTGAAGGGTACAAAAATCCACGCCTGTTGAAGGACCTTAAAAAATTCTATAAAAAATCCACACCTAAGGATAAAAAATCCCTACTTGAAAAAATTTTTAAAATTTTTGTTTCTTTTTACTTGAGAGAAAATACATTTTTTTACATTTTTTTATAATTTCTTTAGCATGCAGTAGTGGTCATAAGAATATATATTTCATATTTTTATAAATTTAAAATACCGTATTTTCAATATTCCCCCCGCTTTAAAGTGTCTTAGAAATTTGTTGAATAAGAAAAAAAATAATAATTAATTTTTATATAAATCCCCCTCACATGTTATAAGATTTTTTAAAGTTTTATAAAAAAAAAATCAATCCAAATATTTTTTCTTTTTTCAGTGTCTAAATGTGTAGAGTAACCCCCCTCTAAAAATCAAAAAATTAAAAAAAAAAAAAACAATTTCAAAAATCCCTCTTCCAAACTACCAACACCATAACTACTACCACCACCACCAACAACAACAACAAAAACCAATCAGCCAACCAACCAAACTTTAAATCAAATCACACCCTCCTATAATCCGAGTAGTTTTATTATGTTAAAACTCAATATGTTTTCTGTGTGTGTGTAAGTGTGTCCTAATTAAGTGTTTGGTTCGAAAACAAAATCTTAAAAGTTCAAAAGCTTGCTGGAGTTGCTTATTGAAAGCTTTTGCTGTGTTTATTTTGGAAGTGCCGTTTTTGTGTGTGAGTGTGTCCGTACGTGCGTGCGGATATTATTAACGACCGTTGGCTGTGACGAGGCACAATTATGCGCCATGCCAAAACTGAGGCATTACATGTCTATGGATCAACCATCCGCGACCACCATCAGGAAAAAGTTCGAAACAAAGCTCATTATTTTTTAATATATATAAACAAACTATATTATAGAGGGCTGCACAAGGAGCTTTGATTGAGAAGCTTTTGCTTATATATTTGCCAGACAAAGACTTGTGGGGTCCTCTATGTATGCAAATTTTTAAGGACAAAGATGAGTGTGTATGTGTACAAGAATACACTATTTTAAATATAGAGGGCGTCAATTAAGAATTGATGATATTGAAAACATTTAAAATTTTTGAAAAAAAGAATCCGACCAAAAAAAAATTTTTTTTGGATATTTTATACCAAAAAATTTTTGTAAGCTATTTTTTTATAAAACACGTAAATTTTAATAAATGACCAAATTTGCAAATATTTTTGTTTATTTTTTCAAAACAATATTTTTTTTTAAAAAAATCCGACCAAAATTTTTTTGGGAATTTTCTTCCAAAAAAAAAAAAATTTTTGTTTTAATTTGCATTTCTTGAAAAAAAAATTTTTTTTTGTTAAATAATTTTTTCTTAAAAAAATCCGACCAAAAATTTTTTTGGATATTTTCTCAAAAAAATATTATTTTTTTTAATTTTTTTTTTTTGAAAAAAAATAAAAATTTTTGAAAAAAAAAATTTTTTATTACAAAAAAAAATTTTTTATTTTCTTTTTTTACAAATTTTTACAATTTTTTACAAATTTTTTTAAAAAATTCTAAAAAAAAAATTTGGACATTTTTGTTTACCAAAACATTAGATCCAAAAATTTTTTTTTCATTTTTTTTTTTGCTTTTTTGAAAAATAAATATTTTTTTTTTAATTTTTTTTGAGCAAAAAAAATGTTTTTTTAAATAATTTTTTCTTAAAAAAATCCGACCAAAAATGTTTGGATATTTGCTCCCAAAACCAATTTGTAATTTTTTTATAAATAGTCAAAATGTGCAAAAGTTTTACAATTAATTACAATTTTTTTTTTCTCAACATTTTGACTTTTTTTTAAAAAAAATTAAAAAAAAAAAAAAAATTTTGGACATTTCATACCAAAAAATATTAGCTTTTTTATTAAACTTGTAATTTGTAATAAATGATCAAATTTGCATTTTTTTGAACAATATTTTTAAATTCGATCTATTTTTTTTAATTTTCTCCAAAAAAAATTTGGACATTTCATACCAAAAAAATAACAGCTTTTTTATGAAACTTGTAAATAAAAGACAAAATTTGCATTTCCTTTTTTTTGAAAAATATTTTTTTTTTGATCCGACCAATTTTTTTTTTTTTTTTTTTTTTTTTTGACTCAAAGAAAATATTATTTTATTTTTAATTTGAATTTTTTGAGCAAATTAAATTTTTTAAAAAAAATTTTTTGGGCATTTTCTTTTTTTTACAAATTTTTACAATTTCATACAAATTTTTTTTGGACATTTTCTCCCAAAAAAAAGTTTGTAAATTTTTTATAAATAGCCAAAATGTGCAATTATTTTACAATTAATTACAATTTTTTCACATTTTCTCAAAATTTTGACATTTTTGTTTAGTAACAGATCCGACCAAAATTTTTCTTGGACATTTTCTCCAAAAAATAAAAATGTTTATTTGTTTTTATTTGAAAAATATTTTTTTTAAGCAAGAATTATTTTTAAAACCTTTTTTTTTCAAAATATCCGACCAAAAATTTTTGGTCATTTTCTCCCAAAACAAAATTTGTAATTTTTTTATAAATAGCGAAAATGTTTTGCACATTTTTAAAAATTTCTTAGATTTTTTTCACATTTTCTAAAAATTTTGACATTTTTGTTTAGTAAAAGATCCGACCAAAATTTTTTTTTTTTGGACATTTTCTCCCAAAAAAATTTTTTTGTTTTTATTTTAATTTGAATTTTTTGAAACAAAAAAAAATTTTTTTTTGAAAAATATATTTTTTTTTAAATCCGAAAAAATTTTTGGACATTTTCTCCAAAAAAAAAAAAAAAATAGTAATTTTTTTATAAATAGCCAAAATGTGCAAATATTTTACAATTAACTACATTTTCTAAAAATTTTGTACATTTTTGTTTAGAAAAAGATCCGACCAAAATTTATTTTGGACATTTTCTCCCAAAAACATGTTCATTTTTATGTTTTTTGTTTAATTTGAATTTTTTGAACAAAAGAAATTTGTTTTTGAAAAATAATTTTTTCTCAAAAAAAAAAAAAAAATCGACCCAAAAATTTTGGACATTTTGTCCCAAAAAAAGTTTGTAATTTTTTTATAAATAGCCAAAATTTGAAAACATTTTAAAATTTCTTACAATATTTTTTTTTACATTTTCTAAAAATTTGGACGTTTTTGTTTCGAAAAAGATGCGATCAACATTTTTTTGGACATTTTCTCCCGAAAAAAATGGACATTTTCTCCAAAAAAAAAAATAATTTTTTCTCAAAAAGAATTCGACCAAAAATTTTTGGGCATTTTCTCCAATAAAAATAATTTTTTATAAATAGCCAAATTTTTTTTTGACAAAAAAAAAACAAAAAATTTTTTTTTTATTTTTTTTGGACATTTTCTTCCAAAAAAAGTTTGTATTGTTTTTATAAATACCCAAAATGTGCAAATATTTTACAATTTCTTAGAATTTTTTTTTTACATTTTCTCAAAATTTGGACCAAAAAAATCCGATGTTTTTTTGGACATTTTTAAAAAAAAAATGTTTTTTGTTTTAATTTGAATTTTTTGAACAAAAGAAATTTGTTTTTGAAAAATAATTTTTTCTTAAAAAAATCCGACCAAAAATTTTTGGACATTATTTTATTTTTTAAATTTAGCCAAAATGTACAAATATATTAAAATTTTTTACAAAAAAAAATTTTTTCACATTTTCCAAAAATTTTGGAAATTTTCTACCAAAAACAAAGATTGGTCGCTTTTGAAAAAAATCGTGCTATACAAAAATTTAACAAAATTTAATACTATTTGTAATATTTTGGGAATTTTCCTTACTGACAATTACCCCTAACCTTTAAAGAACATTTAAGAACCTTTAAGGAACATTTGTCCTAAAAGCTCCTCACAGAATGCAGACGCCATCTATACGCCACGAAGCCATACTAATAATTGGCCCCCATTATATATCCATTAAAGTAGCTCTACTCGTACCTAACCACATCTTTGTCCTTACAACTGTAAATAGCATGTTATATTCTCTACCTTTAAGCTTTCACACAACACCGCACAAACACCACTGTATGATACAAAAGTTTTATGTTGAAAGCTTCTTCACACACACATAAGCACACATTGCATGTTCGAAAATCTAACACCGAAAAATAACCATTAACCACCATTTCCCCCATAACATTTTCTTTTAACATTATTTTCCAAACTTTTTTCCACTAACCATAAAATTTTCCTTAAAAAAAAGCTTTTATATTTTGTAATTGGAACTTTTATCTAATAAAAAAATTTATCTAAACTTGAGGACATTAGGAAATACACTTTAAAACCAGTAAGGAATGTAGTGGTATTCTGGACCTAATTCAGTACCTTATGCCAAATGTCGTGCAAATCGATAGATATATAGGGACTTTGGAGCCCCATATACCTTAAATCGGACGAATATATATATATATATATAAATCTGACCCGATTTTCTCACACATCATTCTGGACCTAATTCTGTACGTTGTGCCAAATTTCGTGCAAATCTAATAATATATAGGGACTTTGGTGCACCATTTACATTAAATCGGACGAAAATATATATGGGAGCTATATCTAAATCTGAACCGATTTTTTTTCCATTCCGCCTGTTGGACATTCTGACGCACAGCAATTAATCAGAAGATAGTGACGATGTTTCATCATTTGTTGTTTTAATGACTTTTCTATACAAATTGTAAATGTGTAACACAAGTGCAATAATTTACGCTGTTTTTACAAAGCAAAAATATAATTCAGTAAAGTTTTTTTGAAGAAATATCTAATTCAGCTGAGATATTTTTAATGTAATCGAGTCAACAGAGCTTAAAGATTACAAAAAAACACAATTTGTTCCCAATTCAGCTATGGAAAATACAATTCAGCAAGGTTAAATTGTAATTCAGCTGAGATATTTTTCGTGCAATCGATGCGGCAGTCATCAAGGATTACAATAAACTCCAATTTCTGTCAATTCAGCTATGAAAAGTGTTATTCAGCAAAGATTTTTTTTCATATAAACGTTTTTAAATGTTAATTCAGCGGGGATACTTTTAATGTAAACGACAGAGCAGACCTCAAAGAATGCAATATACCACAATTTTTGCCAATTCAGCTAAGAAAAACCAAATTCAGCAAAGTTTAATTGTAATTCAGCTGCGATATTTTTATTCCAATCTGTGCGGCAGACCTCACTAATTACAGCAAATACCAATTTTTGCCAATTCAGCTACGTAAATTTTTAATTAGCAAAGCTTTTTTCACATAAAATTTTCAAATTTTAATTTAGCAGAGGTATTTTTAATGTAAACGATACAGCAGTCCTCAAAAATTGCTATTAACATAAATTTTTGCCAATTCAGCCAAGGAAAATGAAATTCAGCAAGGTTAAATTGTAATTCTGCTCAAATATTATGAGTGCAATCGTTGCGGCAGACCTAAAAGATTACAATAAACATAACTTTTTGCTAATTCAGCTACGAAAAATAATATTCAGCAACGATTTCTTCTTATAAAATTATAAAAATTTAATTCTGCAGAGATATTTTTTCAATAGGGTTCGTCCTTGGGCCAAATAAGTGACTTGTGCCAAATTTCATCCAAATCGGATTATAAATGCGACCTGTACTTTGTTTACAATTTAACATCAAGAGACGGACGCCTTAAGATAGGCTCTAGAAAATATTTTTGGAAATTCCATGACTTAGGAGAGGCTCCTTAAAAATCTGTAGACTAGAAAGGTTCCTTTCAAATATTTCCACTTTTGTCTTCTTCCTTTCCTTTTCCTTACCTTTTTTTCTCTCTCACTCTCATTAATCATTGTAAATTTTCCCATTCTCCCATCAAGGCATGCCCTGCACATCCTGTTTTCTATTTTCAAAACTTTTCAAAATATTCTAATTTTCCTTGATTTCAAAATTAATTTCCAATCATCAACGCCTACGGCATGTTCTCTTAGTAACGATTTTTCAATTATAGGACGATGACAGCAATATGCTTCGTCTGCAATTTACCTATAATGTCCCATCAAGTGGGCCTGGTGTGGTCCGGGGGCAATGGTTGGGATGATCTTGTAAGGGAACAGGTAAGGCACAACATTTTCAAGGGCACCTTAAGAAGAGATTCTAAAATTTTTATTTTTACCCTTAAGCTGGAGGAGTCCACGATACGACAACGATTGGGTGGTCGACGCGATTCGGCAGCACAAATCAATACGCCTCCTAGTACCTCACCGCCACCGGGTAAGGAAAATTCTGATTTTCCTTTTACAAAAATTTCTCACTCTCATTTTCTCTCTCTCCCTCCTCAGGCCTGCAACGTCGTCGCCGCAGTTCCTTGGCCCAGCTAACCGATTTACTGCGCGAATGGAGTGGTGGCGTCAAACACCAAAGTACCCAGCCTCAGCGCACCACCAAGGCGCCCCTAAATCGTCGTGAAACTTTGGCAGATCTGGCCCGCAGCCTGCCCTGGCGTACCACAACCACAGATGCCTCCACAAATGTGGGAGGCTCCAATTATGTGGCGCCACGCAAGCGACGTGAGTCCAGTGCCGAACCGGGTCTGAGAAGTGCCCGACCAAGGCGGGACTCCAACACTGCAGAGTTTGTGAAACATTGGAATCGTCGTGAGAGTACCGTGGATGATGCTGCCCCGGTATCTGTGTCCGTGGTGGTGGAAAGTTCCAAGGGGGTAAGTAAGGCGAGGGGCTCAAAAAATGCTAAAAATTTTGTTGTTTATTTCCTATTTTTTGTTGTTGTAAATAATTCTCATTGATGTTTTTGTAAATACGAATATTTTCTCTCTCTCCCTCACCCCAATATCTTCCCTTTGTAAATTTTCTCTCCACCCCACCCTTGGCCTTCAAAACCCAGAGTTCACGCCGCGATTCCGCTGAGAGTAACAACTCTAGCCGCCGTGACAGTTCCATCGGTCGCATTTATACACCATCAACAACACCACCTCCTCCTCCGCGCATCGGTGTCAGTCCGGTGAAGCGCGACTCACTGGCCGCTCCAGAATTCCCCAACTTCCGTTATGAACAGAGACCCTCAACAAGTTCGGCTGGTTCCGATTCAATACAATATTTTTCTACTTCTTCCCATAATCAGGTTGATTCCAGCTGCCAGGCTCTGCCACCGCCCACGATCATTACAAGCTCGGTGACACCACCGGCCACCAGCCCTACGGCCCCCAAGGGAAGACGTGATTCCACCACCCAATGTGGTCGTGTTAATCGGCGAGATTCCAAGGCTGGCATTAGCCCTGAGAGGGCACCACGTTTGCAACGCTTGCAACGGCAGGCCACCGCCTTCGATGAAAGCTGTCTGCCGGGAGGTAGCCGTCGCGGTTCTCAACCCGCCCTCAGTCCCGATCCGCCAGAGGAAGGTCAAAGGCGCAGCTCTCGTCGTGACTCCCTGAGCCCAGACAGTGCATCTCGAGGACGTCGTGATTCGAGGACCCATCTCTCGCCCGATCGCAGCCATGAGCGAGAGGGCAGCCCACATCGTCGTCATGCCCTGCGGCGCCAAAGTTCCTCGGCAGCGCGTAGCTCTCGCTCGCCTGACTCTACAAGCATTTGTTCATCACGAGATGCCAGTCCCTGTGGCCGGCCACCACCACTACCGGTCACGGAGAATTCCTCAGGTCGTCCTGCCATTAGACGTCAATCGACGACAGAGGAAATTTTAATATCTCGGGGTTTTCGACGTCAGTCGACGACGGAGGAAATGATAAGATGTCGGAATTTTCGACGTCAAAGTTCGCAGAGTGATGATGTGTGTCGGTAAGTGGAACGAAGATGACGACTCTGTTGTGGAATTCGAGAAATAAAAATGTCTGTCTTTCAGTTATCGTGGCCGCCGTGACTCCAGCGCGCAAATTATTGATGGCACCATTGGAACCATGACAGTGGAGACGACCAGTACATTTTTTGATTCCAGTACCCAGACAGGTGAGTCCGTAGGAAATAAGACACATAAAAAAAGTAGCCGGAGTTTTCAGGATACTTAGAGATTTGGGAAAAAACATCCACGCCTAAATGTAGGCCTTAGAAAATTATCTTTAAAAAATCCACGCCTAAATGTAGGCCTTAGAAAATTATCTTTAAAAAATCCACGCCTAAATGTAGGCCTTAGAAAATTATCTTTAAAAAATTCGACGCCTAAATGTAGGCCTTAGAAAATTATCTTTAAAAAATCCACGCCTAAATGTAGGCCTTAGAAAATTATCTTTAAAAAATCCACGCCTGTCTGTAGGCCTTAGAAAATTATCTTTAAAAAATCCACGCCTGTCTGTAGGCCTTAGAAAATTATCTTTAAAAAATCCACGCCTTAGGATAGGCTATAAAAATGAAGTTTAAAAAATCCACGCCTTAGGATAGGCTATAAAAATGAAGTTTAAAAAATCCACGCCTTAGGATAGGCTATAAAAATTAAGTTTACAAAATCCACGCCTTAGGATAGGCTTTAAAAATGAAGTTTAAAAAATCCACGCCTTAGGATAGGCTTTAAAAATGAAGTTTAAAAAATCCACGCCTTAGGATAGGCTAAAAAAATGAAGTTTAAAAAATCCACGCCTTAGGATAGGCTTTAAAAATGAAGTTTAAAAAATCCACGCCTAAATGTAGGCCTTAGAAAATTATCTTTAAAAAATCCACGCCTAAATGTAGGCCTTAGAAAATTATCTTTAAAAAATCCACGCCTAAATGTAGGCCTTAGAAAATTACCTTTAAAAAATTCACGCCTTAGGATAGGCTATAAAAATTATCTTTAAAAAATTCACGCTTTAGGATAGGCTATAAAAATTATCTTTAAAAAAATCCACGCCTAGGATAGGCTATAAAAATGAAGTTTGAAATAATCCACGCCTTAGAATAGGCTATAAAAATTAAGTTTAAAAAATCCACGCCTTAGGATAGGCTATAAATTTTATCTTTAAAAAATCCACGCCTAGGATAGGCTATAAAAATGAAGTTTGAAATAATCCACGCCTTAGTATAGGCTATAAAAATGAAGTTTAAAAAATCCACGCCTTAGGATAGGCTTTAAAAATGAAGTTTAAAAAATCCACGCCTTAGGATAGGCTATAAAAATGAAGTTTAAAAAATCCACGCCTTAGGATAGGCTATAAAAATGAAGTTTAAAAAATCCACGCCTTAGGATAGGCTTTAAAAATGAAGTTTAAAAAATCCACGCCTTAGGATAGGCTATAAAAATGAAGTTTAAAAAATCCACGCCTTAGGATAGGCTATAAAAATGATCTTTAAAAAATCCACGCCTTAGGATAGGCTATAAAAATTAAGTTTAAAAAATCCACGCCTTAGGATAGGCTATAAAAATGATCTTTAAAAAATCCACGCCTTAGGATAGGCTATAAAAATGATCTTTAAAAAATCCACGCCTAAATAGGCTTTAAAAATGAAGTTTAAAAAATCCACGCCTTAGGATAGGCTATAAAAATGATCTTTAAAAAAATGATCTATAAAACTGATCTTTAAAAAATCCACGCCTTAGGATAGGCTATAAAAATGATCTTTAAAAAATCCACGCCTTAGGATAGGCTATAAAAATGATCTTTAAAAAATCCACGCCTTAGGATAGGCTATAAAAATTATCTTTAAAAAATCCACGCCTTAGGATAGGCTATAAAAATGAAGTTTAAAAAATCCACGCCTTAGGATAGGCTACAGAAATGAAGTTTCAAAAATCCACGCCTTAGGATAGGCTATAAACATTATCTTTAAAAAATCCACGCCATAGGATAGGCTATAAAAATGAATTTTAAAAAATCCACGCCTTAGGATAGGCTATAAAATTGAAGTTTAAAAGGTCCACGCCTTTGCTAAGACCTCCAAAAAATATCTTAAAAAATTCATTATCGCCTGCGGATCTCCTCCATTTTAATTTTCTAATACAAATTTGCCAACGTTTAATGCTTTTGACACCTGTTAACATCATCACTGCTAGTGTTTGTTCAAGGTGCCCTAACGTATTATCCTACAACCCTCCCTCACCTTCTCCGAATTTTCCGCATCGACCAAGAACTAAATAGTTGCCAGTGTGAAACTATTCTGTTTCTTTTTAAATGACTTTTAATAACTTAACAAACAATAATAACAACAACAATACTAATTATTAAAAACAGTAACAGAAGGATAACACCAACAACAATAACCCAATTCGTTACAACAACAACTGCAACGAGAAAAACACAAACTTGGTCAAGTGCCCTTAAAAGTGTTTTGTTAGTCAAGTGAATGTCAAGTGTCCTGGACGGGAAAGTTAGTTCGGTTTGTTTGTTAGTTGGCAAAGCAATTGTAAAAGTTCAACAACAACAACACCACCAACAAAAACTAACTCTGAACCTATGTTGTTGTTGCAATTTGAAAATGGAAAATCCAGTTGAAAATAAATTAAAATTTTTTGGTATGGATAGCCTTTGAAAAAATATTTTTAAAAAATCCACGCCTAGGGGTAGGCTTTGGAAAAATATCTTTAAAAAAATCCACGCCTAAGGGTAGGCTTTGAAAAAGTATCTTTAAAAAATCCAAGCCTAAGGGTAAGCTTTGAGAAAATATCTTTAAAAAATCCACGCCTAAGGGTAGGCTTTAAAAAAATATCTTTATCCAAAGATAACCTTTGCAAAAATATCTTTAAAAAGGCCACGCCTAAGGGTAGGCTTTGAAAAAAGTGTATTTAAAAAATTCACGCCTAAGGATAGGCTTTGAAAAAGTATCTTTAAAAAATCCACGCCTAAGGGTAAGCTTTGAGAAAATATCTTTAAAAAATCCACGCCTAAGGGTAGGCTTTGAAAAAAATATTTTTAAAAAATTCCACGCCTAGGAATTTGGAAAAAGATATTTAAAAAATCTACGCCTAAGGGTAGGCTTTGACAAAATATCTTTAAAAAATCCACGCCTAAGGATAGGTTTTGAAAAAGTATCTTTAAAAAATTCACGCCTAAGGGTAGGCTTTGAAAAAATATCTTTAAAAAATCCACGCCTAAAGGTAGGCTTTGGTAAAATATCTTTCAAAAATCCACGCCTAAGGGTAGGCTTTAAAAAAATATCTTTAAAAAATCCACGCCCAAGGGTAGGCTTTGAAAAATATCTTTAAAAAATCCACGCCCAAGGGTAGGCTTTGAAAAATATCTTTAAAAAATCCACGCCCAAGGGTAGGCTTTGAAAAATATATTTAAAAACTCCACGCCTAAGGGTAGGCTTTGAAAAAATATCTTTAAAAAATCCACGCCTAAGTGTAGGCTTTGAAAAAATATCTTTAAAAATCCACGCCTAAGGGTAGGCTTTGGAAAAAGATCTTTAAAAAATCAACGCCTAAGGGTAGGCTTTGGAAAAAGATCTTTAAAAAATTCCACGCCTAAGGATAGGCTTTGAAAAAATTTCTTTAAAAAATTCCACGCCCAAGGGTAGGCATTGGAAAAATATCTTTAATAAAATCCACGCCCAAGGGTAGGCTTTGGGGAAATATTATTTTAAAAATCCACGCCTAAATGTAGGCTTGGGAAAAATATTTTTAAAAAATCCACGCCTAAGTATAGACATTGGTATTTAATTTTTTTTTCTGGAATACCACCCTGTTGCCCCCATACATATGAGACACCCTGTCGTCTTCCTCAAATATTTCTTTTTCAATGAAATCACCCCCCTTTTTATCCCCAATAAATTGTCTTCAGTACAAAAAGTAACGATATTATTGTCAAAGTTCGGAGTTTTCTTCCTTTTCGAATTTGTCAATAACTTCCTGCAAGACATTCATTTTTATTATCTCCCCCCAAAAGAAAATGGACCCATTTGACAATTTCAATAAAACCAAAATTTTCTGACATTTGAACTCGACTAAATAACTGACTTTCTCTTGTTCCAAATTTGTTGTTGTTATCCTAAATTTATAAGGACTTCTTTCTAACCATCATCGGGCCACCACCAAGCAACACATCAACATGACACCACTGACACATATATTGCGATAACCCTTCAAAAACAAAGAGAAAGAGTAAGAGAGAGAGGGGTTAAGAGAGTGAACGAAGAGAGAGAGAAAGATTTTGTTTATTCCTATTGGAAAATAGATAAGAAAGGGAATATGCAAAAATAGGTTAGGAATGAAGGACAGCACATGAAAAGGGAATGGCTGAAAGAGATTTCAGTGGACATGGTAGCATCGCAAACACCCCTTTCAAAAATATATTTTTACTTAGAATTTTTTTCTTAAAAAATTTACAATCTTTGGCTTATTCTTTATGAATAAATTAAAATTATGGGTTGCCATATTGTTAATGAAAAAAAAAAAAATACTGCGAAAGGCAAACAACTTCCACCCATAAATACGACAATAAAAATGAAGCAAAAAATTTCCAAAGAAGAAAAATTCGATGTTATGTAAAAACTTGGCCATAACTTCATTAGTGCAGGAGCTATGGAAAAATCTTTAAAGGATGTTTTGAAGGCCACACAATATCCTTTCAGACACAATTTATTTCATGTTTATAACTTCATAAATATCAAAGTTATGGCTCATAGAAAATACTCCGCGAAAATTGCCCAAATTTTGAGATTTTTGCGTAGCCTACTCATTTTCGACATATATCTGGTATTTGTGCAAATATTTCAAATTACAATATCGCAAATGAAAGCCTAAAATCTCTACTTTGTTAGTATTCTCAATCACATTGAGAAATCTTCAACCAGATAAAAGATACGCCAAATTTAAATGATCGCTACTGATAAAACGTCATACGATTTTTTTAGAGTAATAAGACACATTTGAAATGTTCTTAAAAATTTCTTAAGAAAAGTACATAAGCTTATTACACTATTTTAAAGTATACAGATCAAGCTTTCAAAATCTGCTTCCCTTATTACAATCCCGCAACCAAAGCCGAAATTATGGCCCAGAGAAATACATTACGCAAAATTTTCCAAAAATTTACAAAATT